TTCTAAGGTTACTTTGGTCTTGACACCTCCACAGCTCACCAAACCCTTCTGTGGTTTGGTAAGGAGGGACCCCAGGTGTCCTCTCTAGCTGTTAGTTGTGAACATTTACCTAGTATCTAGTTACTTCAAAAAAGTATAGTCTTAACTTTTGAAAAATCTGTGCCCTGATGTGTAACTTTAGCATAGTTAGTATATTAGTAAAATAAAAGCTAAATTTTTGAGAACCAGGAAATTTGTTTTACATGCATAATGTCACTTATATTCACAATATCTTTGTTCAATGAAGGAAAGACTGGAACTCAAGTAGTCTGAGTCCAGAATGCAAACTCTGAAAAATGTACAGAGTGATGGACCAGTGGTTTGTTAGGCACACTGTTATTTTATCATCATTGTCATTGTAACTGTCAACTGGTATGTGCCTATGCATTAAGTAATCAAAGCACAACTTTATGTTTGTCCCCTGTCATCACTGTTAAATTTATTCAAGAGTTCAATCTCCTGCTTTTGGGAGAAAAAAATGAATGTGGTTTTGCATTCATACTTAGGTAACAGATAATATTATAGTCATCATGAGTTATAAATATAGAGCACCTTACAGATTTACTGAAAATCTGTTCTGAGATTCCCTTGACTTGCCTGGATGCCTTTTGCCTATGCTTGTAACTCTCCAAGGTTCCTACAAATCCAACATTCCTATTTGACTTACTGCTAAAGTCCCTCTCGTCCTGTAATCTCCTATTAAATAGGACACTATAGACCATATGTCAGCTCTTTCTCTCAAATATCTCACATCTGGTCTTCAGGAATGATATTTTATTTTCCTTGACATACTCTGATATATACAAGTAGAATACAACACAGTCATCTGTATCCTGCTTTTTCAGGTTGCTTTAAACCAGCAGTCCCCCACCTTTGTGGCACAAGGGCTTTTGTAAAAGACATTTTTTCCACAGATGGGGTGGAGGTGGGAGGTATGGTTTTGAGATGTTCCACTTCCACCACAAATCATCAGGCATTACATTCTCACAAGGAGGGTACAACCTAGATCCCTTTCATGCACAGTTTACAATAGGGTTTGCCCTCCTATGAGAATCTAATGCCACTGCTGATCTGACAGGAGGTGGAGCTCAGGCAGTAAAGCTCACTGGCCTTCCACTCACCTCTTGTTGTGTCACCTGGTTCCTAACAGGCCACAGACCAGTACCAGTTCATGGCCCAGGGGTTGGGGACCCCTGCTTTAAAGTCTTTTAGTCTCAGGGCATGCATCAGCCCACTGTATCTCCTAACTGCAGGGGACACCTTTCAGGGTCCTCAAGTGGACTCATGGAACCACACTTCTCCTTGAAAGGAGGGGCACAATCTCGCCCCTGCCTCCACTAAAACACCTATAGAGAGGCACCTCAAAGCAAAGAAATAGATGTCTCCAAATAATTTTATTCGATAAATTCTGCCCCATTCTTTGCACTCTCTCCACTCTTTTACATCCTGAAAATGAGCCAAGACAACCTGGAGTCATAGAATCTATTCTCAACCATTTCTGCAGTAAACCCAATTTATAGTGGTGTATCTCATTCTTTCTTTCATACTTGACATCAATTGCTATGGCATCAAATTAAAAAATAAAATAGTGGGAGTACTAATCTAACATCGTAAATTATAAGTGAGCATCTACTATGTTGTAGACACAATGCTCCATGTCCTTGGCACAATTTATAACCTATCCACTACACTTTAATTTATTTTTATATTAAAAATAGCTAAAATGAGATTAAGTGCCCTCTTCAGTGAACTATCACTTATCACTTACACACTGGACAGTATGTACAATGCTACTTGATAGGTCTTTTTCACATGAATGGAACATAGTCCCTATCATCTAAAGAAATTACACATTAGCAAAACAATTAAAAAAGTAAAGAAATTTTTAAATGACAAGAGATTAATACTATAACAAGAGATAACAAATGCTTTTGAAATCTTTTGAAAGTATGCATCCCAGCATTGTAGCCAAGGGAAAATGACTGAGAGGAGGAGACTATATACAGAAAAGATGTCTGAAAAAGTATTGTCTATAGAGTATATATGAATTGGGCAACAGGTGAAGAATAGGAAAAGAGCAAACCAGGTAGGGTATAGTGGACTCTGTTGCTTACGAACTCAATATTCTTTCCCTTTCTTTTTCCCTCTTAAAAATTCCAGATTTTCTCAGACACCTGCTCCTCCTGTATACACCATGTACCTCAGAAGAAGTAAATTTTATCCCCAGATTCAGGAGTGGCTCTGATTGGTCTAAGATGGGGTTTCTCAATCATAGCACTGCTGACATTTGGTGCTGGATAATTCTTTGTTTAAGCAGGCAGTATGAGAAGAGAAGCCGTCCCATACACTATAAAATGTTTAGCAGCAGGGTGTTACCACCCACTAGATGACAGTAGCACCCAACACATTCCCCCCACAACCCACCCTGCACACCTCAACTTGTGACAACCAAAAATATCTTCAGACGCTGATACATGTCTGCTAGGCAGCAAAATATGTCCCCTCACTTCGAGTCACAGGTCCAAGGATACTTTCAATGTTTCAGAATGAACATGTAACTAAACTCTGACTCTTCTCATTCTTCCTATCCCTGTGTATTGCTGTGATGCCTGGAACTGCCACAGCCGTCTTGCTTCAGCTTGAAGAAAAAGGTAGTGAACAAAGATAATGGAAGAAAAGTAGAAAGAACCCAAGACCTTGATGATCTTGTTAAGTGGATTCTTTGTTGTAGGAACTGTCCTGAATGTCCTGATCCATGAAATCATATATTTATTGTCTAATACAGTTTCTTTTGAGGCTTTTACAAATTGCAGCACAGAGATTTTTAGCTGGTACAAGAAAAAACAAGCATGTGCCCCATTCTGAGATTAAGAGAGTAGGGTACAATCAAGGAACTTCAAGTAATTCAGTATGGCTGGAGTACGAAAACTTAAATGACTACATGAAGAAAGATCAAGTATATGACGGCAATTAGAGATGAAAATACTGTATGCAATGATAAGTAGTCATTGGGAGGTATTGAAGGTTTAAGTAGGATCAGAATTGGTTTTTAAAACACAGGTCAAGTTTTGGCCGGGAGCGGTGGCTCAAGCCTGTAATTCTAGCACTTTGGGAGGCCCAGATGGGTGGATCACGAGGTCAGCAGATCGAGACCATCCTGGCTAACACGGTGAAACCCCGTCTCTACTAAAAAATACAAAACAAACAAACAAACAAAAAAACTAGCCAGGCGAGGTGGCAGGCGCCTGTAGTCCCAACTACTCGGGAGGCTGAGGCAAGAGAATGGCGTGAACCTGGGAGGCAGAGCTTGCAGTGAGCTGAGATCCGGCCACTGCACTCCAGCCTGGGCAACAGAGTGAGACTCTGTCTCAAAAAAACAAAACAAACAAAACAAAACAAAACAAAAAAACAAAAAACAAAAAAACACAGGTCAAGTTTTGAATGCCAGATGAGAAAAGCAAGACTGAAGTCAGAAATCCAAAGTAGGAGGCAAGTGCAGTAGTACATGTGAGAATAGAAGGGGGTATTTTTACTTCCACTTCACAAAAATAGTTTGCTTTTTAGGTTTTCTTCACTGCATTCAAAGTTAAATGATCAAATTTCTGCTTTCTAATCCTTCTGAAACAATGGTTTCTCATTTGAGGACATGTCTCATTTATAGTTAACTAATACACCACCAGCTAAAACCAAGGGTACTTCTACTTTTATACTTTCAAGTAAAACAGATTTCTCCATACAGAAATCTGACTTTGATCTTTACAATTCTGCCAATACAATAGTCTTTTTATCACACAATAATTATATCAAGACTTTCATAAAGCTAGAGTAACACCCACGTGGGCCTCTCATGCATAGTGACCGTATTAGGGAATGAGCTGTGGGACGAGAACAGAGTACAAACACCGGGTATTTTTCAAGATGATTGAGTATGCTGAGGTCTACCTATTAGTTAAGTGAGATATTTTTACTGTCTATATTCCCAATTAGTTATGGAGTTGTATGCAAAACCTTTAAATGGTTTAGAGCAGAACAACTTTTTGCCATAAAGGTAAATTAGGACTATTCAGAAGTTTCTACCATAAGGATTTGTTTATGCAACTTTTAAAATATTGATTATTTAACTGACAAACAAAAATTATATGCATCTATGGAGTACAACATAATGTACTGAAATATGTATACAATGTGGAATGGCTAAATCAAGCTGATTAATATATGCATTACCTCACATATGTATCTTTTTGTGGTGATAACACAATATCTACTCTCCTAGTGATTTACAAGTATACTCTACACTGTTAAATATCGTCACCATGTTGTACAATAGATCCCTTGAACTTATTCTCCTAAAGGAAATTTTGTATCCTTCAACCAAGATTTCTCCAATCCACTCCCAACTCCTAGTTCCTGGTGACCACCATTCTACTGTTTGCTCCTATGAGTTCCACACTTTAAGACTCCACCTCTAAGTAAGAACATGCAGTATTTGTCTTTCTGTGCCTGGTTTATTTCACATAATATAAGATCCTCCAGTTTCATCTATATGATCTCAAATGTCAGATTTTCTGTCTTTTTTAGGGCTGAATAGTATTCCATTGTGTATATATGCCACTTTTTTTTTTATTATACTTTATGTTCTAGGGAACACGTGCACAATGGGCAGGCTTGTTACATATGTATATATGTGCCATGTTGGTGTGCTGCCAACATTAAATCGTCATTTACATTAGGTATATCTCCTAATGCTATCCCTCCCCGTCCCCCACCCCACAATAGGCCTCACTGTGTGTTGTTCTCCTTCCTGTGGAACAAGTGATCTCATTGTTCAATTCCCACCTATAAGTGAGAACATGTGGTGTTTAGTTTTCTGTTCTTGCAATAGTTTGCTGAGAATGATGGTTTCCAGCTGCATCCATGTCTCTACAGAGGACATGAACTCATCCTTTTTTATGGCTGCATAGTATTCCATGGTGTATATGTGCCACATTTTTTTTTTCTGATTAAAAAAAGATACTTTATTAAACTTTTAAAATTGCAGAACGTCAGACTGAATATCATTAGACACATAAACAAAGCCACTCATCTCTAAAGTCATCTTATATACCATCTCAAAATTTGGCCAGTGAGTTATGCCTCAGTGAATTTTCCAGTTCAACCCCATACACCAATGTGAAATAAATGGAAACACTAGCCTTTTGGTTTTGCCCATAGTTCCAAAGTGCTATTAGAGGTGGAATATCTGCTGCAGGAGGTCATTCTTGCTGCTGTGGGTGTGAGTAAAATATCCATCTCTTCGCCTCTGGTCTGGTAGGCTTTGTTCTCTTTCTCCTTGTTTTGTCTCCTTCTACAGGGGTTGCCTTACATACTGCAATCAAAAGATATCTTCTGTTCAGAATCACAACAGATAGTAAGTGGTTCGCGTGAGAAGTAATGTTACATAGTAAGTTACTGAATCTAATGAGAAATTAACTCTGGGGTTACAACTCAAATATGATTTCAAGGTAAAGAAAATAATTACTTGGCTGGCTTGTAAAATGCTTAGTTCTTTCTAAACTCATGATTGCAAAATGGACTTCTGCTTCACGCTGCATCCTAAGGCACAAATCAGGTAGCCTACATCTCCCAAATGATCAACAGAGCACTCCATCCTATTTTACCCTCAATGCTGAGAAATTACTCCTGGGCCCAGAAGTTGTCACACAGGTGGCTTGGGTTACTTGGTGCTCAGGCAACAACTGCCACAGGCCCCACATTGATGAACACCATCAATTTCTTTAAATATGATGATACTAAGATGGAGGCTCCTGCTCGGAGGAAGCAAGGACATAAAAGCTGAGATAGAGTGCGTTGAGGGTCACTATACTAACACACCCAGATGACATGATGGAACGTGAATATTGAAGCTTACAATCTTCTGAAAAATCTCTTTTTCAAAACCCATACACCCTTTTTTCTAATCGGGAAATCAGGGACAGGAAAACATTTGCATAATTACCCACCAACATGTTCTTCTTAACAGAAGTGAAGATTGTTTTAAGAATATGAAAAGTGTTTCAAGACATCTGTTTTCAGGGATAGATCAGAGCAACAGAAGTACTTTTCAGAGTTGGTTCATTTTAAAGTCTATCTCAAGAACAAGGGCAGCCTGCTTTCACAAGGTACCAAGACATGTTCTGGCAAAAACATTTTCATGTTAGGTTGTATGCTGTCAAGTTCAACTATTTTATACATATCTGATGCTTTTCTGTCAGCAAAAAAGGTACAATTTTTTAAAACTTGAAAATCTATAATTTCTGGGTAGGATGAAGGTAGAATTTTGGTTGTATTTTATACTTCAGAACACGGATGAAACCAAAGGGTCTGCAATTGTCTCTACATTCACATCTTTCAAAGGTCCTTTCCTCCTTTTACATGATGCATCTGAATCATTGCCATCCTGATTTGAAGACATATTTTCAACTTTCATTAGTGATGAATAGCTCCTAAGTTCATCCATTTCCCTTTTCTTCTTCATTTCTTCTTTTTCTCTCCTTTTCATTTCCTGAATTTGGGTTTTTTTCTCATTCCTCTTTTCACGATCTCTGCATTCTTTCTCTGCTGCTAGGTCTGGGAACCGCTCCACTTTGGTCTTTTCTAATCGGCTCACGATCTCATTTACTTTCTTCTCCACTGTCACAATTTTTACATCCTTTTGCCTGTGAAAGCCTATCTGCCCCACATCCATGTCAGCTGTTTTCTTCAGGTTAGATCACAGAGTATATACCACATTAACGTTGTTCATCTTGCAGCCTTCAATGCTATTGGCCTTCACAAGGTGGGCACAGTCCATCAGCACTTCCTTTGGAATGTCTTCTATATTCTCTCCCTTATGTAATCGAAGGTATACATGAGCTGAAGAGAGTTTGTCCACATGAAACCAGATATCTTCAGGCCAGCCATGCTTGATCAGATCTTCATTTTCATATTTATCTTTTCCCATGTAAATAGTGTAGGCAGATGAATTAACGCTGCTCCTGGTGAAGTAGAACACCATGATCATGGGAGCGATGCGGTGACTCCACTGCGGAGCAGCAGTGCTCAACTCACGAAGCTCAGGATACCAGACTCGCGGCGACCGCCTGGCCCCTGGAACTCCTCCGTCTATGTGCCACATTTTCTTAATCCAGTCTGTCATGGATGGACATTGGGGTTGGTTCCAAGTCTTTGCTATTGTGAATAGTGCCACAATAAACATACTTGTGCATGTGTCTTCATAGCAGCATGATTTATAGTCGTTTGGGTATACATCCCTTAATGGGATGGCATGGTCAAATGGTATTTCTAGTTCAAGATCCTTGAGGAACCGCCACACTGTTTTCAACAATGGTCGAACTAGTTTACAGTCCCACCAACAGTGTAAAAGTGTCTCTATTTCTCCACATCCTCTCCAGCACCTGTTGTTTCTTGACTTTTAAATGATTGTCAATCTAACTGGTGTGAGATGGTATCTCATTGTGGTTTTGATTTGCATTTCTCTCATGGCGAGGGATGATGAACATTTTCTCTTGTCTATTGGCTGTATAAACGTCTTCTTTGAGAAGTGTCTGTTCATTTCCTTTGCTCGCTTTTGGGTTTTTTTTTTTTTTCTTGTAAATTTGTTTGAGTTATTCGTAGGTTCTGGATATTAGCCCTTTGTCAGATGAGTAGATTGCAAAAATTTTCTCCCATTCTGTAGGTTGCCTGTTCACTCTGACGGTAGTTTCTTTTGCTGTGCAGAAGCTCTTTACTTTAATGAGATCCCATTTGTCAATTTTGGCTTCTGTTTCCATTGCTTTTGGTGTTTTGGACATGAAGTCCTTGCCCATGCCTATGTCCTGAATGGTATTGCCTAGGTTTTCTTCTGGGGTTTTATGGTTTCAGGTCTAACATTTAAGTCTTTAATCCATCTTGAATTAATTTTTGTATAAGGAGTAAGGAAGGGATCCAGTTTCATCTTTCTAATTATGGCTAGCCAGTTTTCCCAGCACCATTTATTAAATAGGGAATCCTTTCCCCATTTCTTGTTTTTGTCAGGTTTGTCAAAGATCAGCTGGTTGTAGATGTGTAGTATTATTTCTGAGGGCTCTGTTCTGTTCCATTGGTCTATATCTCTGTTTTGGTACCAGTACCATGCTGTTTTGGTTACTGTAGCCTTGTAGTATAGTTTGAAGTCAGGTAGTATGATGCCTCCAGCTTTGTTCTTTTGACTTAGGATTCTCTTGGCAATGCGGGTGCTTTTTTGATTCCATATGAACTTTAAAACAGTTTTTTCCAATTCTGTGAAGAAAGTCATTGGTACCTTGATGGGGATGGCATTGAATCTATAAATCACCTTGGGCAGTATGGCCATTTTCACAATATTGATTCTTCATATCCATGAACATGGAATGTTCTTCCATTTGCTTGTGTCCTCTTTTATTTCACTAGCAGTGTTTTGTAGTTCTCCTTGAAGAGGTCCTTCACTTCCATTGTAACTTGGATTTCTAGGTCCTGCCTGGGTAATATAGCGAGACCCCATTCTCCACAAAAAGGAAAAAAAAAAAAAAAAAAGGTATTTTATTCTCTTTGAAGCAATTGTGAATGGAATTTCATTCATGATTTGGCTCTCTGTTTGTCTGTCACTGGTGTATAAGAATGCTTGTGATTTTTGCACATTGATTTTGTATCCTGAGACTTTGCTGAAGTTGCTTATCAGCTTAAGGAGATTTTGGGCTGAGATGATGGGGTTTTCTAAATATACAATCATGTCATCTGCAAACAGGGACAATTTGACTTCTTCTTTTCCTACTTGAATACCCTTTATTTCTTTCTCTTGCCTGATTGCCCTGGCCAGAACTTCCAACACTATGTTGAATAGGAGTGGTGATTGAGGGCATCTCTATCTTGTTCCAGTTTTTAAAGGGAATGCTTCCAGTTTTTGCCCATTCAGTGTGATATTGGCTGTGGCTTTGTCACAAATAGCTCTTACTATTTTGAGATACGTTCCATCAATACCGAATTTATTGAGAGTTTTTAGCATGAAGGGCTGTTGAATTTTGTCAAAGGCCTTTTCTGCATCTATTGAGATAATCATGTCATTTTTGTCTTTGGTTCTGTTTATATGCTGGATTACATTTATTGATTTGCATATGTTGAACCAGCCTTGCATCCCAGGGATGAAGCCCACTTGTTCATAGTGGATAAGCTTTTTGATGTGCTGCTGGATTCAGTTTGCCAGTATTTTATTGAGGATTTTTGCAGCGATGTTCATCAGGGATATTGGTCTAAAATTCTCCTTTTTTTGTTGTGTCTCTGCCAGGTGTTAGTATGAGGATGATGCTGGCCTCATAAAAAAATTTAGGGATGATTCTCTCTTTTTCTATTGATTGGAATAGTTTCAGAAGGAATGGTACCAGATCCTCCCTGTACCTCTGGTACAATTCGACTGTGAGTCCATCTGGTCCTGGACTTTTTTTGCATGGTAGGCTATTAATTATTGCCTCAATTTCAGAGTCTGTTTTTGGTCTATTCAGAGATTCAACTTCTTCTTGGTTTAGTCTTGAGAGAGTGTATGTTTCCAGGAATGTATCCATTTCTTCTAGGTTTTCTAGTTTATTTTTGTAGAGGTGTTTATAGTATTCTCTGATGGTAGTTTGTATTTCTGTGGGGTCGGTGGTGATATCCCCTTTATTATTTTTTATTGCCTCCATTTGATTGTTCTCTCTTTTCTTCTTTATTAGTCTTGCTAGCAGTCTATCAATTTTCTTGATCTTTTCAAAAAAATCAGCTCCTGGATTCATTGATTTTTTAAGGGTTTTTGTGCCTCTGTCTCCTTCAGTTCTGCTCTGATCTCAGTTATTTCTTCCCTTCTGCTAGCTTTTGAATGTGTTTCCTCTCACTTCTCTAGTTCTTTTAATTGTGATGTTAGGGTGTCAATTTTAGATCTTTCCTGCTTCCTCTTGTGGGCATTTAGTGCTATAAATTTTCCTCTACACACTGCCTTAAATGTGTCCCAGAGATTCTGCTATGCTGTATCTTTGTTCTCATTCGTTTCAAGAACATCTTTATTTCTGCCTTCATTTTGTTATGTAGTCATTCAGGAGCAGGTTGTTCAGTTTCCATGTAGTTGAGTGATTTTGAGTGAGTTTCTTAGTCCTGAGGTCTAGTTTGATTGCACTGTGGTCTGAGAGACAGTTTGTTATAATTTCTGTTTTTTACATTTGTTGAGGAGTGCTTTACTTCCAACTATGTGGTCAATTTTGGAATAAGTGTGATGTGGTACTGAGAAGAATGTATGTTCTGTTGATTAAGTGTGGAGAGTTCTGTAGATGTCAATTAGGGCTGCTTGGTGCAGAGCTGAGTTCAATTCCTGGATATCCTTGTTAACTTTCTGTCTCGTTGATCTGTCTAATGTTGACAGTGGGGTGTTAAAGTATCCCATTATTATTGTGTGGGAATCTAAGTCTCTTTGTAAGTCTTTAAGGACTTGCTTTATGAATCTGGATGCTCCTGTATTGGGTACATATATATTTAGAATAGTTTGCTCTTCCTGATGAATTAATCCCTTTACCATTATGTAATGGCTTTCTTTGTCTCTTTTGATCTTTGTTGGTTTAAAGTCTGTTTTATCAGAGACTAGGATTGCAACCCCTGCCTTTTTCTGTTTTCCGTTTGCTTGGTAGATCTTCCTCCATCCCTTTATTTTGAGCCTATGTGTGTCTCTGCACATGAGATGGGTCTCCTGAATACAGCAAACTGATGGATCTTGACTCTTTATCCATTCTGCCAGTCTGTGTCTTTTAGTTGGACCATTTAGCCCATTTACATTTAAGGTTAATATTGTTATGTGTGAACTTGATCCTGTCATTTTGATGTTAGCTGCTTATTTTGCTTGTTAGTTGATGTATTTTCTTCCTAGCATCAATGGTCTTAACATTTTGGCATGTTTTTGCAATGGCTGGTACCGGTTGTTCCTTTCCATGTTTATTGCTTCCTTCAAGATCTCTTATAGGGCAGGCCTAGTGGTGACAAAATCTCTCACCATTTGCTTCTCTGTAAAGGATTTTATTTCTCGTTCACTTATGAAACTTACTTTGACTGGATATGAAATTCTGGGTTGAAAATCCTTTTCTTTAAGAATGTTGAATATTGGCCCCCACTCTCTTCTGGCTTGTAGAGTTTCTGCTGAGAGATCTGCTGTTAGTCTGATGGGCTTCCCTTTGTGGAAGGGACCCGAGCTTTCCTGACTGCCCTTAACAGTTTTTCCTTCATTTCAACTTTGGCAAATCTGACTTATATGTGTCTTGGAGTTGATCTTCTCGAGGAGTATCTTTGTGGTGTTCTCTGTATTTCCTGAATTTGAATATTGGCCTGCCTTGCTAGGTTGGGGAAGTTCTCCTGGATTTCCAACTTGGAAATCCAGGAGAACTTCCCCAACCTGAAATCCAGGAGAACTTCCCCAACCTAGCAGAGTGTTTTCCAACTTGGTTCCATTCTCCCTGTCACTTTCAGGTACACCAATCAGACGGAGATTTGGTCTTTTCACATAATTCCATATTTCTTGGAGGCTTTGTTCATTTCTTTTTACTCTTTTTTCTCTAAACTTCTCTCCTCACTTCATTTCATTCATTTGATCTTCAATCACTGATAACTTTTCTTCCAGTTGATCGAGTTGGTTACTGAAGCTTGTACATTTGTCACGTAGTTTTGTGTTGTGGTTTTCATCTCTATCAGGTCATTTATGGACTTCTCTGCATTGGTTATTCTATTTATTCATTTGTCTCTTGTGGGAAGTCAGGGACCCCAAATGGAGGGACTGGTTGAAGCCACGGCAGAAGAACATAAATTATGAAGATTTCATGGACATTTATTAGTTCCCTAAATGAATACTTCTATAATTTCTGATTCCTGTCTTTACTGCAATCTCTGAACATAAATTGTGAAGATTTCATGGACACTTATCACTTCCCCAGTCAATAATCTTGTGATTTCCTGTGCCTGTATTTACTTTCATCTCTTAAACTCATCATCTTCTTGGTAAATTTAGGAGGATATATGTCACCTCAGGACCCTGTGATGATTGCGTCAACTGCACAAATTGTTTGTAGAGTATGTATGTTTGAACAATATGAAATCTGGGCATCTTGAAAAAAGAACAAGATAACAGCAATGTTCAT